TTTTTTTTTCCTTTGCGGAATCGGGGATTGAACTCAGGCCCTTGTGCTTGCCAGGCAAGCACTTATTCTACTGAGCTATCTCCCCGGCCCCGCCTGCTCTTTATAAGCCAAAGAAAAATGAGTTTTCTAGATCCTTTTCTTGAGCCACAAAAAGATTTATGTCACCCTCTTCTCTTGAGTTTTACTTTCTTACAATTCCACACTCATGGCTATTATTCTGCTTTAGTCTTTATCAGGGACAAATGGCCGCTGAAGATAGAAGTGGAGTTTCAAATGAGGACAGCCCAGCTATTAAAGATAATGAAGTACTTGAACCATCTTTTACACGTAAGTTGAAGAAGTACTGGGTTCTGTAAGGTAAAAATACAGAAACCTTGGTTTTGGTGAAATATAGTATAGCCATTATTATAGGCAAAGCTGTTACAAATTGGGACATTTGTGCTAAGACCACAAAGAAGAGTATATTTCTTCATCTTTCTGTCACAAGGATTTTCACGAGTGTGTTCTGAGAACCCTTTATAAAAACGTCAGGTTGACTCATAGTTTCAGTTATAGTTAAGCTTATAAATGAATCCCTGATTTACCAAGTTTGTGATTACTTTGGATTTAAAATAAGTACTTTTTCTTCATTTTTCCTTCTTAGAATATGAAGGTATTATTTTTCCTTATATTACACTCATTCCATTGATTGCTCAGATTTAGAAAACCCTGTCCTCAGTGGAAGAATAGAAATGACAGACTCCAAAAATGTAGTCCTGCCTCAGGCCCTGCCCTGGAATGTCTTACCCTGTAGCCCACTTCTTCAGTATGAAATAAGGATGTGAGGCCGATTGTCTGAGGCTCTTCCCACATTGAGAAAGTTTTGTTTATATGGTGCACAGAGCTGGGAATTAAACCCAGGGAGCACTGAGCTAGGCCCTCAGCTCCTTTTTTTTTTTTTGCCAAGTTCCCAGGCTGGCCTCAAGCAGATGATCCTCCTCCCTCAGCCTCTTGTGTACCTGGGATTACAGACATGAGGCACCGTGCCTGGCTGAGGAATTTTTTTTTTTCTGGCTGAGGAATTTTTGAATACAATTCTATAGCCTTATAAACTTAATTGTCAAATCTAAAATTATCATTTATAGTTTGGACAACTAAATATGAGAGCTTGTAAATTTGTAAAATTTAGCCTTGTAAAAGGCTTGTTAACCCACCACTGAAATGGAATGTGTTGAATTATTGATATTTAAATTTAATTCAAATGATTTATTAGCAAGTCAAATGAATTCTTCTGTTGTTGGATTTTTTTTCCTGGCGGATAACAATTCAGTTTGGTGAACAAATTTGGTTCTTTCACACACTCATGATGGACCCTGGATGGCTCTGGCTGGAACATGTCACCTTCCTGCCAGCATGAACCACCAGTGGTACATACATGACTGTCCCAGAACACATTAAAGTATGAGAACACATTGGCTGGATTCTATCCCCAGCACCACAGAAACAAACAGACCCAACTCCACCAGCAGCACGCAGAGAAGTGACTGCTGGCGAGTGGTTGGAACACTCTTAGTGTTGCGGAGGAGAGGGTGCCTGGTGGCTTTGCTGGAGTTCCCGCGCTCCATGGGAAAGGCACCCCCACACACTGCCCTGCCTTCGCCCGCGGGGCTCATGGCCGCATTGTTTATGCCTTGGCAGATGCAAGGGCTTGGCCGAGGCGGTTCGAAGCGGACGGGCTTCACCCTGCTGGGGACATGCCTCATATGGATGCTGCCACTGCTGCTGTACTCGCCGTCAACACTCCGTATCACAGCCAGAGTAAGTGTGCATTTTTCTCCTCCAGCAGCTGGCAGAGCCACAGGTCGAATGCTGGTCTGTGTGCTCTAGAAATTATTTCTGGTTCAACAGACTTCTTATAAGCATAAATTATTCAAAAGTTTAGGGTTAGAGTATTAGAGTTAATGACATTTCTGAAGTAACTGTGCATGTGAACACATAAAGACAGTGCTTAGAAAAAACTCATTAGGAGAGGCTTTTCATTTAGTGTTCCAGGAAAATAACTTTCTAAGAATTTTTGTCTGTAACTATTCAGACCCTGACAGCCCACTGTAGACTTTGGCAGAAGCCAAAATCACTCCATAGGCACCTTCTGGTCTTGGCAAATTATGGCAAGAAACTTCAATAACAGATAACTCCTCTTCCGTAGCTCTGATGTGATTGCAGTATTTTCATGTTCTTTCTGTTTGCTTCCCTTATGTCTTAAGAAATTAGGACCAAAATTTTATTTTTCAGTCTTCCATAAAGCTGACAACACTCTGCTAACTTATTGCTGAAGGCTAACTAGTCACTGGACATCCCTATGTGACATGGACACTTTTCTTCTTAATTCCTCCATGAAGAGCAGAGCTGAGGGGACACATGGCCTCTGCTAACAGCCAGGTTCTTTATTCCTCAGAGCACAGTCTTCAGTGAGGAAGTGCCTCCCAGTGCCTCCACACGTGGGGATAACATCATACCCCAAACGCACTCAGAGGCTTTTACTAGCAATTTGTTGGTTTAAGTCACAGAACTTAGGAGCGGGAGGAATTAGTGAAAGAAGCCACGGATTTTGAGAGTATGGGGTTGTTTTTTCTGATTTCACAGAAAATCTGCTTTGGAAAGCAATCCTGTCAGCCAGACATGATTGTAAACCTCCTCTGGGGGCTGCTTTCCTGGGGGCCAGGCATTCAGCAGGAAACCGGACTGAGCTGCTGTTACAGCATCTGGTGTAGGGAGCCAAGTGGTGCCCAGACCCTCGCCGAGGCCCCAGGACGGTTCTGCTGCCCCAGCTCAGGGGCAGTGACCATGGGCACAGCCTAAGGGCAAGGACTCAGAATTGCACTGGAGGAAGTATAGGTCCGTGAACAGTAATGGAGATGATGGTGATGGCTGTTGAAAGAATTAGGAAGCAGCACTATTCGCTTTGGTCCTTGAGAAATTCTCTTACCATCCACTTCTTCCTCTGGACAACTGAAGGAAAGTGAAAGGCCAGAGCACAGTGTCTTTGAGGTTCCAGTGGATAGACTTACCTTGCTTGGCTCTTGTGTCCCAAGAAGCTTCTGTGTAGCAGCCCACAGGTGCAACATACTTCACCCCCCCAACCAGTGCTGCAGCACCACCCCATCTTAACCGGCCCCAAACGGCATTCCTGTTTTGAAATTGCTGTTCCATTAATAAAAAGCAACACTGTTTGGGAGGGACCTTTCTCCACCAGCAAGCAGAAGTGACTCTTGGCCTCTCATGCTATTTTAATTGCATGATGAAGCTGGAGAGAGAGAGGAAACTGGATCCTTCCTTCTAGTAGCAAAACTAGCTCTGTGCCTCCTAAAGACTTAAGAGGAGGCACAGTGGAAAGCACGAAAGTCCTCTGGTGAACCTGTGGGCTTTGCTGCTCACTCATGTTGCTCCAAGTTTTCGAAAAGTAGGTTATGGGGCGGAGCCAAAAGAGAAAGGCTAGCGTAACCATCTTCCATGAGATTTAATTAAAGCTTGGAGTGTAGGGCCCTGTGCCAAGAGTGAGAGGGAATAGTCAAGTAATTAAAACATGGGCCTTCCCCGGAAGGGATAGAAGTGGGAGAGACAAGTACATGACGTTGGTGACAGAGCAGGGACAAAATAACCCTGCAGGTCAGGGGTTGGTGCTTGTTTCAGAGGATGGGGGTGTGAGTCCAATCCCCAGTAGCATGGCCAGTTTTGTGCTGGAGGAAGGGGCAAGGGTGCCCTCCACTGGGGGAAGGAGGCAGAGAAGGCTAAGGGGAAAACAGGCTCAAGCTGCAGGCAGGGACCCGAGTGGACTGGCCCTGGGGCCAAGGCGGGAGCACTGTGCCCTGGGGGGAGGCAGCTCACTCAGGTCCCACACTACTGTAGGTTTGGGCCCTGTCCAGGCAGAGACGCTGGACTGCAAACCCGTATCTGCCTTGTAGGTCATGCTGTGCGCTGATGTGGACTGTGCTGGAAGGCAGTAGTCAGGGAGGGCATTGGCTCAGTCAGTCACTGTTCCAGGGAACACCTGAGAAGGCAGGACGGGAAGGCTGAATCTGTAAGCCCTAGTGGCCTAATGGACAAGGGAACAATGAGGAGCTTTGCATTGCTTTGGGTTTTTTGCCCAAGCTAACCTGGAATTCACAGGCTCATGAGCACCCCCTGCCTCAACTTCCTGAGCAGCTGGGACTACAGGTTTGTGTCATGCCTCATTTAGAGAGAGTGTGATTAAAGGACTGGTGTAATTTTAGGAATGAAGCCAGTGGTGTGGGGTTTCCATATGCCAATGGCAGGGAACTTGTTGAAAACATGGATTTAAGGCTTAGGTCAGAGTTTTGGACTAGAGAAATGCATGTGGGAGTGACTGGTGTCCAGCGATCACTAAAAGCCCAGGCAGAGCTGGCCTTAGGAGAAAAGAAGTAGGGACTGAGTAGTGCTGTGACTAGGATGCTGGGCAGTGGTGGAGGCTTTGCTTTCTTCTCTTTGGGGGAGGAGACTTGAGCACCTTTACAGGAGGAAGAAAGGGCTGTAAGCTGCCGTGTACCTGGATAGAGACCTGTGGCTCTGGGGGGGTCCTCACAGTGGAGCAGGTGGCCTCAATAGCAGGATTTCAGTGCACAGGTTGAAGGAGGACAGGCAGGGCCGCAGGGATGAGGAAACAAGGCGTGGAGGGAGGACAGTGGGGTGTGGAAAGTGAAAGGTGAGGTGTGGCGCTGGGGTGGGGCTGGGGGCTTGAACCAGGTTGGCAAAGTCAGGGACAAGTCTCATAGAGCCTTCCCGCAAGGCAGTCCTACATCGTGTGCAAACATTGATGCCACAAGCTGCTCACTCTGTGTTTTACTCTCTGTTAGGTGCAGATCAGAAACAAAGTAGAGAACACGAGGAAGAAGAAAACACATGGGAACAGCATGTTACAGAACAAAAGCAGAAGGAAGAACAGAGGCTGAGTGACTTGAAAGAGACTCTGGGAAGGGAACAAAGAGAGCTGGAGAAACTGGACCAGGAAAGGGTAAGCCGCTTGGTGTGAGCTGTGGCACTCATTTCTCCATCGGATGCTTTTGCAGGGCACCTTGAGCTCGGGGTGGTGAGGCAGTAGTGTCCTAAAGGAGAGAAGTGGCAGGTGATCAGAAGGATGTGCCTGCCCTTGAGTGGTCAGTGGGAAAGGCTGCAGATTACACACCTGTGAGTCACACATCTGTGAGGGTCACCCTGTGTCACACACCAGTGAGGAACATACAACTGTGAGGGTCACATACCTGTGAGATTCACACACCTGTGAGGGTCACACCCTGTGTGTGTCATCTGTGTCACCCACTTGTGAGAGGCATACATCTTTGAGGGTCATGTACCCTGTCACACACCATTGAGAGACACACCTGTGAAGGCCATATACCTGTAAGGGGTACACACCCTGTGTCACATACCTGTGAGTGGCACACATCTTATATGAGTGTCACCTGTGAGTGTGTCACACCTGTGAGTGTATCACACCTGTGAGGGTCATACACCCTGTGAAGGTCACACACCTGTGAGGGACACACACCTATGAGGGTCACCTGTGAGGGACACAAACCTGTTATGGTCATGCACCCTGTGTCACACACCAGTTAGAGTCACACATGTGAGAGATTCACACACCCTGTGTCACCTACGAGGGACACACACCTGTGAGGGTCACATGCCCTGTGAGTGTGATCTGTGTCACACATCCATGAGAGTCACACACTTGTGAGGATCATACACCCTGTCACACATCTGTAAGGGTGACACACCTGTGTCATCTGTGAGTGTCATATACTTGTGAGGGTCACACACCTGCAAAGGTCAGACACCCATTGTCACTTGTGAGTGTTACACAGATGTGAGAGTCACATACCTATGAAGGACACATACCCTGTGTCACCTGTGAGTGTCACACACCTGTGAGTGACACACAACTATGAGGGACACAGAGCTATGAGGATCACTCACTCTATGATACCTGTGAGGGACACAAACCTGTGAGGGTCATGTACCCTGTGTCACACACCAGTGAGAGTCACACACATGAGAGATTCATACACCCTTTGTTACCTATGAGGGACACACACCTGTGAGGATCATACAATCTGTGTCAAACACCTGTGAGGGACACATACCTCTGAGGATCACACACTTGTGAGGGTCATACACCCTGTGAGTGTCATCTGTGTCATATACCCATGAGAGTCACACAATTGTGAGGATCATGCACCCTGTGTCACACACCTGTAAGAGTGACACACCTGTGTCACTTGTGGCAGTCATATACCTGTGAGGGTCAGATATCCTGTGAGTGCCGCTTGTGAATGTTACACAACTGTGAGGGTCACATACCTGTGAAGGACACACACCGTGTGTCACCTGTGTTACACACCTGTGAGGGTCACACACCTGTGTCACATACCAGTGAGGGTCATACAACTATGAAGGGAATATACCCTATGTCACCTGTGAAGGTCCACATATGTGAGGGTCACTCACCTGTGAGGGTCACATACTCTGAGGGTCACACAACTGTGAGGGAAACACACCCTGTGAGTGTCACGCACCAATGAGGGCTACACACCCTGTGTCACTTGTGTCACATACCTCGTGAGGGTCACATAAATGTGAGTGACACACACCCTGGGAGGGTCAGCTGTGTCACTTGTGAGAGTGACACCTGTGAAAGTCATGTACCCTGTGTCACACCCTATGTCACACTCTTATGAGTGTCACCACACCCTGTGTTACACAGCTGTGAGGGCCATACACCATATGAGGGTCACACATCTGTGAGTGACACAGCCTGTCAGTATCACCTGTGAAGGACAACACTTGTGAGGGGCACATACCTTGTGTCACACCTATGAGGGTCACCTGTGAAGGTTACACACCCTGTGTCACCCACTTGTGAGGGTAACATGCCTGTGAAGGACACACCTTTGAGGGTCACACACCTCTGAGGGTCATATACTCTGTGAGTGTCACATACCTGAGAGTGTCACACAAAAGTGAGGGACTTACCCTGTGTCACCTATGAGGGCCACACACTTATAAAGGTTACCTGTGAGAGTCAGGCACCCTGTGTAACACCCTGTGAGTATTGTCTATGTCACATACCTGTGAGTGTCGCACACTTGTCAGGGTCACACCTGTGTCACCTGTGAGGGTTGCACACCTGTGCAGGTCACACATTTTGGGAGGTCACACATCTGTGAGGTCACACACCTGTGTCACATACCAGTGTCGCACAACTGTTAGGGACACATACCCAGTGTCACCTGTGAGGGTCACACACCTATGAGGGTCACACAGCACCTGTTAGAGTTACATGCCCTGTGTCACACACCCTGTGTCACACACTTGTGAGGGACACATATATGTGTCACACCTATGCGGGTCACACACCTGTGAAGAACACACACTCTTTGTCACCAGTGGGTGTTACACACTTGTGAGAGTCACATACCCTGTGAGGGTGATGTATCTGTAAGGGTCACACAACTGAGTGACACACACTCTTTGTCATCTGTGTCACACACCTGTGAGAGGCACACACCCTGTGAGAGGCACACACTTGTGAGGGTCACATATCCTGTGTCACACACTTGTGAGGGTCACATCTGTGAGTGTCACACACTTACGAGGGTCACACACCTGTGAAGGGCACACATAGTATCACCTATGTCACCTGTGAGGGTCACACATTTATGAGGGTCACATACCTGTTAGATTTACACACCTTGTGTCACACATCCTGTAAAGGACACACACCTGTGAGGGTCACATACTGTGTCACACACTTGTGAAGGACACATACCTGTGAGGGTCACACATCTATGAGGTCACACACTCTAAGTGTCACCTGTGTCATGCCTGTGAGCATCACTACACTGGGTATTATATACCTTTGAGGGTCACACACCTGTGAGGGTCACACCTGTGAAGGACACACATACTGAGTGTCACCTGTGTCATATCTGTGAGGGTCACATACCTTGGGAGGTCACATATCTGTGAGGGTCACACAACTGTGAGGGACACACACCTGTTAAGATCACACACCCTGTGTCACACACCTATGAGGGTCTCACACCTGTGAGGTCACACCTCTGTGTCACATACTTGTGTTACACAACTGTAAGGGTCACACACCTGTGAGGGTCACACAACTGTGAGGGACACACCTAGTATCACCTGTGTGTCCCACACCTGTGAGGGTCACACACTTGTGAGAATCACGCACCCTGTGACTATCACACACTGTGAGGGTCACATATCCTGTGAGGGTCACACCCCTGTGAGGGTCACAGCAGAGGAGAATTCGGGAAAGTGCTTTTGCAAGCACTCTTTCGGTCCTTAAAAGAAGCCAACCAAGGAGGGAGGGAGTTCATGCTTTGGTGTGGAACATCCCTTTGTAAATAGGTTTAATGAACAGTCTCCTAAGGTCAGCCAGCTGGGACTAGAAGAAGCCAGGTGGAGGCGGCCTCCAGTCCACTGTTGCTTCTGGTGCCACACACTGCCTTCCTGCTCCCGGAGGTTCTCCTTTGCCTTCTCTAGCCTAGTCCTAGACAGACCAGGCCTGTGTCGGGTCTTGCTTGATCTGCCATATGGATGGCTGTTCCTGAGGCAAATGAATGCCCTTCTTTGCAGTCTCAAGTTTGTCTCCCTCTGAGAGTGGCAGTGATTTCAGTTGGCATCTCTAGTTCTCCAGCGTGCAGTTTGTACCAAAAGAATCAGAATTATATTACTGTGTATTTCTTAAAGACCGGAGCTTTGTACATAAAATTTGTATATTTCCTATTTTGGCACCCATCTCTTTAATAGAGGTTGATAGAAGAATCACTGAAGATTGAGATGGAAAAGGAATTAGAAAGGACTACTGAAGAAATGAAAGAAAAATCAGCTGCCAGTGAAAATCCTTTAGAGAAATACATGAAACTCATCCAGCAAAGGAGAGAACAGCAGGCTATGGATCAGGTGCCTGTGCTGTGGTTAGGCCTGTGCTCTGGGCCTGGGAGGGTCATCCAGGGCCTTGAGTCGCCTGCAAGCAGGCATCTGTCCTCTACTGAGGACAGGAAGATTTAAAAGCCTAGTTAAAAGGGGGGAGCCCTGAGTCTTTTAAAATGTATTATACTCTTTCAACAAAATTCCATATTTTGCTCAGGCAAAAAATTGATGGGATTTTTATTTGTCACAGTTTATGTATTTTCAGATGGTTCTTACCAAGAAAAAGAAAGAAATGTGTCACTGAGTAACAAGTACATTTTGAGAGAATAAGTCTGAATTATTGGGGTTACAGTGTATACTATATTGTGACGTGCTTGCTTAATTTCACACTAAAAAGTTCTTTTTGAGACTCATATTACATGTATATTTCAAAAATACTTCCTAGATAAATCAGCATTTTCATAAAATTGATTCATGTCTAACTTCCCTCCCTTGCCCTTGTCAGAGCGCCAAAAAGATGCTCCGAGAAAGCTCCGAAGTGGATACACTGCCATCTAGCGACAAGGATGACAGGTATGCTTTCCCCAAAGTGCTCCTTTTGTGGGCCGAGAGAGACTCAGCTATTTGAGGTTGTCTTTGAGAAACTTCAATCAAAAGTACTGACTTTAAAAAACAATCTATTGTGATTTTTAACTTGTGTGAAATTGATCTTGATAGAAATACAAGTAAAGATGGAGACCCCCACAGGGGAGAAGTGAGGATATTAGGAAGATCTCACATTTGACAGGAATTTTTAAATTTTCTAATTTTTCTCTGATTTAGTTGCACAGGCTTGTCTCATGAAGAACCAGATGACATTTGGTAACTATGCTAGCTGTCCGGCTTCTTACAACAGTGAAGTTACCCAAGATCTGGTCCTGTCAAACATTTCTCTGTAATCAAACCAAATGCTCAATAAAATCTGTGCAGCCCCGTGTGGTTTGCGTATCATTTTAGTTGGGTACTGTACCGTACAAACCAAGAATAGTCCAGTCAAGTAAAACCCCTGCCTCAGCTGTAGAATTTCTCATTCATTCCATTCCAGTTTTTTTTCCTGACCATTTTTTTCCTGTTAGGTCATGCTTGTCTGAAAACTTATTTTACTGGTCACACTCTTGGCCTACATTGTGACAGTTAAAATGTGTGCACCTCTCTTCCCTAGAGTTGGACCACTACAGGTAAACTCTTCCCTAGAGTTGGATGACTACAGGTAAAACAAGGGCCCATTTTCTACTGAACCTTTTTGTTTCGCCCTGTGCATAAACAGATTTTTCCATTCTAGACTGTAGAAATAGTACTTTTGGCATCAGCTATGGTTTAAATGTATGTGTCCCTCCAAATCCTCTGTGTTGGGATTTAAACCCTGAGGTGACAGTGAAAACTCTCTCTCCAAGGTGCCATCTTGGAAGCGAAGACCCAACCCTCACCCCACCTGGCAATACCATAATGTTGGACTTCCCAGCCCCCAAATAGTAAGAAATACATTTCTTTGTAAATTCTCCAGTCTGAACTGATTTCTTACAGCAGCGGAGATAGACCGAGAGAGCATCTTTCTTGTGGAACCTTTGGACATCCTTTTAGTGAGTGGGTTTAAAGTACTGTTTTTAAACAAGTAGTCTCCCTTCTAACTCTGGCTTCATTTTCATCTCCTAAAACTTCAGTTTTATAAGGTATAACTGGGGAAAACAATGCCTGCCTTCCAGACTTAAGAGACTGCTTGTGATCTTATCAAGCCATTATTTACAGTTGATTCATATGACTTATATAATTACACAGAATGCTGCTTAAACAGAAGGTAATAAGCAGTGGGACAAATGGCAGGCTAATTGAGCTCCTGCTTCTCCACTATGTGTAAATGAAGGGCGATGATTCAGAGTCAGCACCTCATTTAGAAATGTCACTGTCGATGGTGACAAAGGCTGGTCCTCACTGAGAAAGCTCACATGTAGCAAATTCAAGTGCCTAATTATACCAACAGATAAGTACTTTTAAAATATTAGGAAATGAAATCCTACATAACAGGTTTAGCTCTACTAGTCAGTGTTGTATTTCTGTTTCTTTTTTTTTGGCGGAACCAGGGATTGAACTCAGGCCCTTGCGCTTGCCAGGGAAGCGCTTATTCCACTGAGCCATTTCCCAAGCCCTTAGTGTTGTATTTCTGAATAAATCTTTCTCTAGGCTTTTGTATTTTAGGGTCAAAAAGTAGCCAGTGATACATGTCCCTTAGTGAAGTACCCATTGCTTCTACTTTGCCAAAGATTAAGCCTTGTGTTAATCGTGTAGGTAAATAGCCTTTATTTATTGGAGAAGCTAATCAGAAAAATTTTGTAAATTTCAAACATTTACAAAGTGCTCCATTTTATGTAAAGTATAGCTCAGTGGGTTACAATATTTTCTTAAATTGCTCTTGCTGAAGAGAGATTTCTGTCAGAAACAAAACATCTAGTTCTTATAGATTAGATTTCTGTGCAAGTGTGAAATATTGATTATGCAGATTTAAAAATGACACCATACTGAGGACAGAGAAAGATAGGATTTATGTATGGTAAAAAGGCAAACGAATGAAGCTATAACTTTATTTGATTACTGTTAATACATCCACAACTATTTCCACCTAAATCTTTAAAATAAGCATACACAAGTATTGACTATTATCTACAAATATTTATTGTAACACTTGAATAGAACTACAGGAAGCCCTTGGCACTGATAGAAAATATTGATTCACTGTTAGGTTACAAAAATTTATACATAGCAAAATTTAATGCTCTTTACATAAAAAATATTAGACTACGTCAACAAAACTTTCAAAAGTTCCTGGTAATAGCTACCAGAATTAGAAAAGTAAAATTAGGCTTTAGACACTGCCTCTTCTAGAACACTGGACTCTAACAGCACCTCCACTGCTGGAAAAAATATTTAAGTTTGTCATGCAACAGGAAAACAAAACACTATGCTACTTTAGAACACTTGTTCTACACAGAAGAGAGCTTTTCCAAATTAAAACCAAATAGGCATTTTTTAGGCATAACTAAAAAAAAGAATCCAAATGAAATATTATACTTGATGTTCAATTTTAATAGTATCTTGATAAAGGTATGCTTCCTTTCATTTGAATACATTTCTGCACATGTATATGTTTTAAAATCCAGGAAACAGCCAAACCACAAGTTAACTCTTAACATGAATATACATAGTTAACCCTATAGTATGCAGCCCCTTTGAAAAGCACTGATGCACCCAACATTTATATGGTTCATTTCAAAAAGAAAAACACAAAGTTTACCGTCACTAATACCCAGTACCTATAGTCACTTAATGTTCTGGAACACAATGATTTAGAAGGCAAGTTTCGTTTGAAAATGGCTTAAACTCAAGCAGTTTTCTTGCTGAACATCAATTATTATTCTAGGAAACTTAACTTTTAGATAAGAAAAAAAAATGAAATAAATACTAGCCCTAATTTACTTATGTATTCAAGTCTATAAAAGTAGGAGGTTAGAGGTCTGTGGTCAGTTTGTTGCTAAGTTTTAGATAGTTGGTATGAAACTGTAAACTCACTATTCAGACCACTTAAAAATGCTTTAGGATGGTGGTCATTTTAATAAGGTAACACTTCTTACTTAAAAATACTTATGGAACAAAATTCTGTGGAGGATTTGGGGGTTTCTGTTATAATACAAATTCTTAGAAATTTAAAGCAAATACTCATTAAGGCAGAGCTGACATTTACTTCCAGAGAAGAATGATAGTAACTGGATGAGCATTTTATTAAAATGAAAGCTATTATAAAATTGATTCTGGCAAACTTAATGAGTCAGAGCCCAGCTTCTTCAATGGTAAGTTCAACAGGGTAGTTGTAGCTCATTTTAGCATTCAGCAAGAAAAATAGATTTCTTATTGGTTCAAGAAATTAATGGGTTTAGACTGGAGGGGTGTTAAGTTTTTTAAAGTCTGTTGTAAAAATCACATCTTTGATGCATCAAAGGTTGATAAATGTCAGCTGTCAGAAATGGAACTTCATACCAATTCCATTTTATTTCCTATATTGATAATGTTTATTTGAGGACGGATGGCATATGTGAATTTATGGTCCCATCCCTTGATGTTGGCATAACACCGGTCCCTACCAAGGGGTGTGACATAGTCCCATCACCTACCTTGGTAGATTCACTCTAGCAATAAGTATGCACATGCCACAGATTTCAAACAAATGAACAATCTGTTGTCAAAAGTGTTGCCTTTTAAAATGGCTAACGTGAAACCTCCAATATTTGTCCTAAAGAAAAAAGATTTACCCACTGGAAGATTTTCCTAGAGATACATCCCAGCAGCTTGAGACAGACAGTGAAATGTTGATACATCTACATTAGTTTGTTTGGTGGGATACACATCTGTACTGCAGAGCAGCTGTCTGATGATTTGTCAGAGCTGTAAATTCGTCGGCTGAAACACTCTGGCAAACATTTATGTGTAAGAATTGAGTTGTTCTTTTGACCGAGACTGGATATCTTGCAGTTCCTGTTCTTCCTTTGCTTTGATATCCTGGTAAGCCTGCATTTTGCTCGCATCCTTTAAGTAAGCCCAGTTAGAAGACAGTATCATGAGGAAGTGGATCTGGAAAAGAAGGGTGAGCATGATGGCTAGTGAGCATGGAAGAAGGCAAAGCGAGCTGCTAGGCAGATTAGATGCCCTCCCAGGGAGAGGGCCGTATTAATACTCGGAACTACTCATTGTGCTGGCGGAGCTGTCAGACGCGGAGAGCATGCTGTAACAGTGTGCTTGGTATTAAAAGGCCAGAGAAAAGTTAGTACACGAGTAGAGCAAACTGGGGGGAAATGGCCAAAGTTATTGTTAAGAAAAAGCAAACATGAAATACGAGCGGGTGCTTTTTACCATTTTGAGGGTAATTATCAAGACTAATGCAGAAGTTGAGGAACACATGTTTGTTCTAAGTGAATGCAGCGCAAAGATGTTTTCAGCCTGTGGATAAAAATCAATTCCCCCAAAGGCCTAAAAGTGTTAACAGTGTTTATTTCCAGTAAATAATTTAAAAACTACATATTTAACATGGAGAAAATTAAAATGTCAAAACCAAAATTAAGAACTACAAGCAAGTCATGCAGTCTCTACGTTAACAAATCTTTAGTAATGAAACTACATTTTTTTATTTCACTACTGCTATTATTTCACAAAATATAAAAATCCTTGTTCTCTAGAGCTGATGTGGCACACAACTTCTTTCCGGTTTATTTTCCTCATGTTTCCTGCAAATAAATCTACATCTCAAGTTTCCTTTTAGTTCATACTTCCTTCTTAACATTTGAAACCTTCAGATCAGCACCCAATTTCTCTTCCCGTTCAAATCTTTCATGCAGTTTGAGAACTAGCTGCAGGAAAACAGTTACCACTCACCAAAAGACAACTTAAGGTTTCCAATTTGGTGGGCTCTAAAGAAATAATTGGTTGTTAAGCAAGAAAGATATATATATATATATATATATATATATATATATAGCAGAGAAATCAAAAGGGTGACATCCTTTTTCATCTGATTTAAGGGGACATTTGTTACTGAACCATGCTGTCATAAAAAAGAACCTTAAAGTTAAAATGTATTTGCAAAATATTTTGTATTTAAGAATGTTACAGAACAAAATCCAAATTAAAACATTTCTTTTTCATCATTCAAACTGGTAGTCAAGCAAGCAAAAATAACAGTGCAGGGGTGCCAAAGCATTAATACTTCATTTAGAGATTCTGCTCAAAGACTTTCAGGAAAGTTATTGTCAAATGATGCTCACCAATGTCAGTAACTGAATCCTTTTCAAAATAGAGAACTAGGCAGATGTCATTATTGTGTAACTCGTGTACAGTAAGTCATTTTATTCTACCATGCAAACGGAGTTAACTGAAGCTATTTACAAATTACTGTAACCAAACTGCAGAAACCTAGGCTGCTTTAGTCTGGAGTGTCAGTGATATTCATACTACAGAGTAGAGCTCACTAAAGCTCCTTATTGGCCTTATGCAATTTAGAACTTAGTGCAGCAATCTTCCCGACTCTTAAACTTCAAAACCGCATAGTTATATGTAGTAGCCATCATGTAGATCAGCTGGTGGAAGAGAACAAAACAGGACAGTAAGACACAGGCAGTGAGGGCCGATGTTGAGACACTTCTAAGTTTGGGCAGGGATGGGCACCAGCTCTTAGCCTACAGTGGCTCGCTTTCCCCACTTGCAGTCACAGCAGACGGTTTTCACATGTAACACACACAAACATCTCCTCATCACACATGCACAATCCAAGTTCTGGGCTCTGCCCTCACTCGGGAAATTTGTTTAAAAGCCTGGGATATGTGTTGAGAATAGCAAGATGGAGAGCTGGTGAGCAGCATGGGAACGTGGAAGCTCAAGGCCTTATTTCCTCTCATCTTTCCCCACGTGCCTGCTCAGCAGCAATTACTCCCCTTTCAGCCTGTTGCTCGGCCAAGACAACAGGTCACCACCGGGGTAGCATAGGCTGCTTTTCTTCACAGACTGTCACGGGAGGAAGCAACCTAATAGCTGAAACACCCCAGAGTGACTCATTTCCAAGCTTCTGAGACGTCGCCCTTGCTCTACCGTTGTTAATTTTCCTTGAGATCACAAACCAGGCCCCCTCCCAGTGCACATGCATATGCACGTGCGTGTGCACGTGCACACACATACACACACAAAGTTGTGTGTTTAGACTATTGATCTTCTTTATGTGCACCCAAGATTGCCTACTTGCTAAAATATGTAACCACCAGACCAATACACAGGGTACTTTCTCAGTCAAAAGTGGACACACAAGTGGCTGTGGAAGGTTCAAGCCACCTAATGGCATGCCATGTGCATATTCCCAGCTGAGGCTGACCAAGGTGGCATTCAGCCTTCTTGGCTCAGTACTTGGGCTATAAACAAGTGCTCTGGCGGGCTGCTTAGTGCCATTTGGTTGGAATTTTTGTTGACTTTGTGATGGCTCAGGAGAAGGCTATGATATGTGTGGAAAAGAAATGTCATTCAGACCTGAGTGACAGGGCTGTTGGCCATGATTTGAATCATAAGGAGCCAGCAATATGTGCTAAAGGAGGTGTCTACCCCAAAACTCAGGTTACGTAGTACCAGGCTGGTGAACATGGTATGGCCAGAGGCTCACAAGGGCAGTGGCTCAATGGTCACTATCTTGTGTTTGAAGTGATTTTTAACATAACTACTGCACATAATGACATCAACTGTATATGTCTGCTATATGTACACATTCATTTTCCATTTGGAAGATTTTTTTTCCAAAACAAAGGCAGTGCCTTACATGAGCATCTGCCCATGAATGAAATCATGAAAGTAAGTGCTAAATGCAACAAAGCACTACGCTGGCCCAGTTGACAGGTGTTGGAACCCTTTCTTCTTTCTACAGAGTCCAATCCCATCACCTATGACTGGTGCCAAGGCAGCCACTAGTGCTTCCTGCAAGCTAGACATGTGGTAAGTTTACACAGGTGACAGGCACAGCTGAGTGGCAGGACCATTTGCTTCTGAAAGCTGGTAAAAGCTGGAAGGGAAATCTGTGATTTAGGGGCTAGGGGATGAGGAGAGCTAGACTACGGTGGTCCCGGGGCAGTTACTCACCAGGGCAATGACAGTGGCACCAGCTCCAGCGCAGGCCACGATGAACAGGTGGTAGGACATGTAGAACTAGGAAAGAGCAGGGCACCAGCATAAGCACTTGGCAGGGAAGGAAATGGTCTATGCGCGTTCTGGACTGTGGCCACGGCCTCCTTTGCGGTTGTGCTCAGCAAGCTCGGGCTGCACGTTGGATCACTGGGGGGAGCTTTAGAAATGTTCTGATATCAAGAGTGTACTCCAGACCCATGATATGTTGGACACTGTGGCCCAGCCTTGGCCACCGTGTACTGTACTGGGCCTGGGTGACTGCAACACACAGTGCAGCTCGTGGCAATCCTTCTTGTGGATGTACAGCCTGACAAGTGACAGTGGGAGGGCTGAGCGTTTTGTTGGGATTTTCTTAGTTATGCAATTTCCCACCAGTGCCTTAAGAATTTTACTTTATAAACAGAAGCCCATAACTGAAAAATATTCTAGGGTTGAGATAGTTTAAACCAAGGTATTACAGTATATTACTGATTAAAGATGAATGAGAAGTAGAAGGGCAAGTCATTCTTGAACTAATAAATAACTGTGACCTCTTATTAAAAATTGGTATCTGCATAAATCCTAGGGGATCTTGTCTATAAAAATTGTCATTTTTCTGTGATACATGTTCTACTTGGAAAAGCTTCCTAAAGCAGGAATAGAAGGATCCATGCTCAGATTTGCAGGTTTGAGATCACTTAAATTACTGCCTAGAGGAAAATCTCCCCAGTCCCTAAGATCCTCACAGCTATGAAGTGACCCTTTTTGTAGATCAGAAATGATTGCCTTCTGATGGTTACACAGATTTCACAAGAGTGGGCATGAACATATGGAAATATTACAGTGAGGCCCATGGATTTGTGCAGTTAATGTGAGTTATGTCTGTGTGGAAGAGTTTTCCTTCAGAGCCTTCTGGCCATCTCTGTTGCTCTTCCCAGCCAGGAGAATGTGCTTTCTCAGCCTATGACAGGTTACCTCATTGGTGTTGCAGATGTTCTCCAGGGCAGAGCCACAGATTTTTCCTGGGAAAGCATTCCATGGAATGATACCTGCAAAGTGAATCACAGCAGATCAGTACAAACCACAGTACCTCATTGCTTTTGCTTTTGTCTTTATGGTGTGGGAGATGCTGGGAATGGGACCCCGACTCTAACACGCTAAGTGTGTGCTCTGCTACTGAGTTTCACCCACAGCCTATCATTTCATTCAATCTAATCCATTAATCTATTTTGGTAGTCCTTAGGATAAGGACTTATCCTTATCCTTTAGGATAAAGTCCAGGGCCTTTGCACCAAGCTACATCCCCACCCTTTTAAATTTTTCTTTAAATTTTGAAATAGAGGCTTACCAAGTCACTAAGTTGCCTGACCTGGGCTGAAATTAGGGATCCTTCTGCCTCAGCCTCCCAGAATGCTAGGATTACAGGCATGTAACACCATGCCAAGCTCATGTTCTTAACAGAGCTTACCACTTTAGGAGAGAAAAAAATATAAAACAGGGATTAAGTAGTCCAGTTCCCACTGTGTGACCCAGGTTGGCCTTAGATTCACTGTGATCCTCTTGCCACCTCAGAGTGCTGGGGTTACAAGTGTGCCACCACATAAGCTGTAGACTACGTCACTGTGTGTGTGTGTGTGTGTGAGAGAGAGAGAGAGAGAGAGAGAGAGAGAGAGAGAGAGACAGAGACAGAGACAGAGACAGAGACAGAGAGACAGACTGAGGATTGAATTCAGGGCCTTGTGCTTGCCAGGCTGGTACTTACGGCACTAGCTACATCCCTGGTCCTAGACTGTATCACTTAGGATGTCAATTACAGTATAACTGGAGACTGTATTACTCATCAACAATTGAGGTATCTGCCATCTGCAGAACTGGCATTTTGGGTTAAAACAAAGGCAACTTTTCCACTAGAGATTTAAACAGCTTGGTATTTTCCCCTACAAATTGTGCTTTTTTAAAAGCTGAGTTGGTATTTGTAAAAATTGATTTTCAGTGCTAGATTTTGCCGACAGTGAATTAATTTGTGCAGTATTGCTAAACAACTGCAGGCTGCCTCCCCTCGCGCTGTCAGGTATGTTTCCATATGAGCTTGGGTCTGTGGCCGGGCTGCTCACACTCTTTGGCGGTGGCCCACCACAGGCTGACCTCCGAAACTGACACCACACACCACACACTTTCGTGGCAGTCTGACAGAGTGATTTATGTGTTCTGAAATCTGATAAATCCTGGATTTCTATTCTGTATGTCTGTATTGAAAACACTTTTGGCCAGAAGATTAAGTTGAACTGTAGAAAAAGGAAAGACACTGATGTCCTTTACCCCAGAGGGCAGAAGCACAGCTGGCGGTATGCCTGTTACTCTAACTCCGAGAGTCACCTCTTCAAAGAACTGTCACTGGGTCCTGCTGCTCCTCTCCCCTGGCAACCTATGGGTGTGTGCTTGTTCATTCAGCACAGCCCACTTCACACTTCTCCAGCAGGTAGAGAGATATACTTCAAAAACCAAAACAGCCCATAACCTTATTACCTCCACACCTGACCCAGGCCAAGAGCAAATATGCATGAGAAGAATGAGAAATTGTCAGTGAAACCACTCATTTTAAGAATAACCTCATGCAAAAATTCAGGTGATTTGAAAAGATGATTATTAATTATAAAAATTTTTGACAAAAATTTTGTAAGGAGCAGGAAAATGAGCTACTTTTAGATATTCTTTAACAAATGCTTTGAAAGCCAACTTCAGGCTCTGTTTTTAGATTCATCCTGAAGAACAGAATAGGTGGGCCCAGGCCTTTGTGTGAAGAGATTAGTTCACGGGGAGGTTTTTGGCAAATTTCCTTTTATGCTGTAAGGTAAGATGCTGAGAATAAGCCACAGGAGAAAAACAAGTGGCAACACTGGAATAGTCGTCCCTTTCCAGAAAAGCTCAATCATTTCCTCTTTGAGTCTAATGAAAGGCCCTTTTCCTCCCTAGCTATGTCTGCCAAGAAAAGATATCCTAGCATCCTGGCCGGAAGCAATAATTAAACTCCTTCCTTAGGATGCTGCCTTCTTTCACTCAGCAGGGAAGTTGAGTCCCAAATTAATTGACAGCAAGAGCCAAGGGCCCCTTGTGTGGCTTGTCACAAGGAACCAACTTTAGTCCCCTATTGTGGTGATCCCATTCACTGGAGAAACTTTGAACTTGTTTCCAACAACTGAAGGCAGCTTGCACAGAATATAGCCGGAGAACTCTCAAGTACATATGGATTTGATATGTCGCACTTCTCCCTCTAGCAGGAGTGAAGTTTAACAGTTGGTCATTTAAAAGCTTGATGTAAAGAGTTGGATGTGCAAAAATTAGTTGGCTTGTACTGTATAATGTGTACCATCTTGTTTTATAGGAAAAGTCAGTTATAAAGCAAAGCAAAGAAAAAAATAATCTTCTCAGAGTGCAGGTCCAGATGTCTTTTTGATTGAACTACACATTATAAAGTAGTTCTGCATTATACAAAGCTTCCTTAAGTATACACCTAACTTGAAAATACAGTATAACAAAATATTGTATGATACCCACAAGCCAATAAAAGAATGATGCTGCCACCCAGAAAACAGCATACTGAGGACAACAGCATAAACTACTCAGCAGGATAGGTGAGACAAGTCTCGGGGATCAAAAAGATGCCCCTATAAGAGCCAAGGGCCAGGCACGCGTGCGAGAGCAGAAAGCCTCAGTGAGCAGGGGCAAAAGAGAAAGTACCGTATTGCCGCACATCCACGCAGATCTGCTCCACACCCGCGGTGCCGTTGGTCTGCGGTGACTTGATGACTTCACAAGTTGACCAGATGTTGTAGAACATGAACACAGGCACTGCCGAGAAACCAAACACACCCAGCCAGGCCACGCCAAGCACATAGGTGAGGAAGACGAACTAGGCCAAACACAAGAGGAAGGAGAAAGAATCATCACTGAGCTGGGCAGGGGCATCTTTCAGAGGAAGGACTATGCATTTCTGGGCCCAGTCCTGAACCTGTGGCACACAGAATGTGTTCTGGGGACTCCAGCCTGCTTTGGCAGTGAGAAGAAAACACCAGCGCAGAGTAGGGGAGCAAGGAAAGTCCGAGCTGGCTGTGCTCTTCATAGAGGATACTAGAATAGTAGTGCCAGAAGCAAACTCAAGCTTGGGGGTCCTTCTTGATAAACATCAAAGACTTGAGCCCCAAGAGGGGCTTTACCTACCCAAGGTCACAGGGATAATTAGGGGGAGAGCCTCCTAGGAGGTGCTCTATCTAAACATCAGTTTCGAGGATGCTTTCACAGGCTCCTGATTCAGGGCACCCGATTAGTATCTCAGAACTTACCTTTGTCCACGTGGGTACGGAAAGCCAGCAATTGCTATGGGAAGCCTTGTCTCAAAAGCAGTCGTGCTAGTTTCCTGATCTGTGAAATTTCTAAAGCATGACATACTGGAACCTTTATCAGAAGTTCAAACAGCCCAGAACACAAGTAAAACGTACAGCGAACCTGATGTGGTGCTCATGTTCCTCTAATTTTCTTTTGTCTCTTGAGATTCACAGTGCCACAAGAAAGTAGTGGCTTAGGGACAGATTCCTGGCGGGTGCCCGCATGTTGCCATGGGCGATCATGGTGAAGAATGTAATCCTACTGCTTGACTTTCTTATTAACTGGCCCCAACTACCAATTTGCAGAGCTTTGAAAGGCTGCCTCAAACGTGGTATTTCTGTACTTAGCACGTGGACCTACAGGGTGTGGGCAGGTCTGGAGTCTTCCTACCTGGCTATTCTTTCTTCAGGTTAATGGTGGAGACCTGACCATTTTGCCTCACTTTTTCTCTAGTGGCCAGAGAAACCTGTACAGTGGGAGGTGGGCTGGGCTCCGACAGGCTGCCTCCTTTTGGTTACCCCGGGGAACTGCAGAAGCAAGGCACTGTTTCCTTTTCTTCAAGGCTATTTATGGGGTTGTAGGTATTTGCATTTCTACAAATATTCAAAGCAGATTTCAGTGGCCACACCCCCTTTCCCTTTCCATTTCCAGTGCTTGATCTGGCTGTTCCAGAGTAGAGTAGCTTTTCATTTCCCCATCAAAACAAGCAGACAAAAAACCTTTTGAGTCTTTGTAAGATCACAAGGCCTTGAAGGCAGGCTGCTGAGTCTAAGACTGGAGCCTTCCCTTTCCCCTTCTGGGTAGTCAGGGCCTCAGAAGGACAAGAGTGTCCAGCAGAGAGGACCCCACTTGGGGCTGTTCCTGTCACAGGAGCCACCAGTGCTCAAAGCTGCCTCCCACAGTAACCTCCTGGGTGCGACCCCCGCCCCCAAGGATGGGGGCTGCAAGGCACCATCAGCCCTGCCCTTCCCTCCATTATCCAGCAAACTTAACCTAAAAATGCTCAGGGGCATGGAGAGTCTTATCTGGGACAAAGGCTCAAATCTACAAGGAAGGAGCTAAAGGGTTAAGCAACTGGGGGGGAGGGGTTGTCCCTGTAGGAAGTGTGTCTGAAATGCGAGTGAATGACACTGCCCTGAGGACTATTACTTGTCCTGCAAGGACTGTTGTTTATCCTACACCAGTCTACACACTGTACAGGGAGGAGGCAGAAAGCCGCTTTGAAGAGGCCTGGCAGAGAGCTTGGGTCTGAGCTGTCCATTCTGAAGTCCCACAGGTGGTGTCATTCTAGACAGACTTCAGGGTGGCAGCTGTGGTTCTGGGAAAACTGTCCCTTTGGGTGCCATTTCTTCTGAAAGGGCATTCTGATGTGCAGCACAGAGACTGGAGTTGGCTCACACCTGCTGGTGCCTGCCAAGGAGCAACAAGGGGCTTGGCAAGACCAGGCCTGTGGTTCCTGACAGGAGTAGTGGGCACAGCCCCACTAACCTCAGTAAGACTGTGACATTCTTTTTTTTTTTTTTTTGCAGAACCAGGGATTGAACTCAGGCCCTTGCGCTTGCCAGGGAAGCACTTATTCTACAGAGCCATCTCCCCGGCCCCCAAGACTGTGACATTTGGAGCCTTATCTCACTGGTGCTCGGGGCTGAGGATTGGGCCAGGACCTGTTGGAAGCCAGTGGTACAGAAATACAGGAGCTCACGGCAAAGCAATGCAAGATGGTGGAGGCCCAGGGAGCTACACAGAGATCAGGATGGTGTGGCAGGAAACTAGGGCATTTCCATGGCCCCAGGGAGGACATCTCAGCCCCAGGTGCCACTTGCCAGGCTTTGCATGGCTGTGAGGAGTGATGACACACAGGCTAAGGTTACACCAGTGATCTAGATCCCTTAGGAGCACCTCCTTGGTTGCCACTCATTCCTCATGCTCAAGACCTTATGGCCTCTCTGGCTGATCTTCCTCAGTTTCCCTCAAGTCTCCTTCTCCTTGGCCTATCCAGTGGATGGTGCTGGGCCCCAGGATTCCCCCTCAGACCTTCTCTTGGTCACAACCACTGCTCTTTACACAGGCCACTTTCAGGCACCTCAGCCTCCACATGACACATATTAATCGCTGATGTATCACATGGAGCTCTTGTGATGTGCACCCCTCGGCACACTGCCCAAGCCCAAGATGTGGCACCTGTCCCATCCTCTTGTGCTCAGGCCCCTGGCTGCGGCTGGCCTCACTTTCCCCTCAGTCTTAAATCTGTTCCCTGTCCTCCACCTTGCTCCAACCCTCATGCCCAACTCCACAGTCATCCACTTACACCTTGCCCTGTCCTGCACTAGCTTGGGGCCTGGAGATATAGCTCTTGCTGCGCACCATCCAGTCACCCTCCAGCTTGTCTCTCAGTTTCACTCTTAGCCTGGCATTCAAAGCCTTGCTTGATCTGACCCCTGCCCCTCCTCTCAAGTGGGGCTTTTTCCTTCCTCCTTCACCAGACCCTTCCCTTTAGCCTGCTCAGTCAAGTGGCCTCAGAGCCTCCTTCTTTCCAAGCCTCCTGTCCTGCTCATGTTGGTTCCTCTTCCTGAGATGTCGCATGGAGCCATTCTTGTGGCTTTGCCTGGGCTCTGAGCCCTCTTGTTGCCACACAGCACAATGATGCCCTCCCTTTCTGTGGCCCTGCTGGCCTTTAGCCAAGGACACAGAAATGCAGCAGAAGCCAAGGGCTAATGGAGCAGCCACTGGGCAGCTCCTGTCGGTGTGGTTTTGGCAGGCCCAGATGATCCCTCTTAGGACTAGGCCCATTCCTGCCATGGCATCCTCATGTTTACCTTGAGTAGCTCACTGCCTGTCATATCACTGGCCTATGCACTCTCACACCCTCTGCTCTTGGCTACAGGGTCACAGAGGCGGCACAGGGCTCTGCCCTAGTTGGTGGGAGGACTCATCTAGAACTTCAAGAGAGCTGTGTCCTCTACCCACTGACAGTGGCACCCACTGGTGGGCCCCAGGGAACCGGGCCCTTGCTTATATTCCTCCACAGAAGGCCATAGAGCCTGGCACTTCCTCCTCAGTGTGAGCCTCCCTTGACTCTCAAAATGTCGTTTTTTTATACCTAGCCATCCTTTCAAAAGCCACACTGACATGGCCAGCTGCTGGCTTTGGTTTTCTGACATGAATATGCCATTATCAACTCCAAATACACACAAAGAGTATGTCTTTAAAAGAGCCCTCAGATTCTGCATGGCCTGAATCAATCCTCATGCATGCTTCTCTCCCTCCTGAGCCCACCCCTGCCAGTTTTCCCTGCAGGATGCAGCATCTTTTTCTCTTTTTCTTTGTTATACCGGGATTGAGCCTAGGGTCTTTACACTGAGCTCCATCCCACCCCTTTTTTCATTTTTCATTTTGAAACAGGCTTTTGCTGAGTCATTAAGTTGCGCAGGCTGAGCTTGAGCTTGCAATCCTCCTGCCTCAGCGTCCCTGTTGCTGGGGTTGAGGGTATTTTCCACCTGGCTTGACAACTAGCTATTTGTAAGATCTGTTGCGCTTTGGAGACCAGATGCAAATGGTTCCACAAATGGTCAACTTGCACTGCGGAATTCTCACAGGTGAAGTACTCACTTGGCTTTTCCCAATCATTTCAAAACATAAAATTTACCCTCCTTAGCCTTAAGCTATATAAGAAGAGACGGGAGAGGCAGGGGACATAGCTCAGTGGCATAAATGCCTGCCTGTCAAGCCAAGGTCCTGAGTTTGATCGCTGGTACTAAACAACAACAAAAAGAGAGAGGAGGCTGAATGTGACTTACAGGCCACTGTTCGCTGGCCCTGTCTTAGGCTGGAAGCTCATGGAGGAAGAGCCTGATTTAATCCCTGCACCCGTGGGGACTAGCAATGTCTACCTCATGCTTACTGTGGTACATGCTGGCAAACGCATGGTGGGTTGTGACCATTCACCATAGGACAGTGGTGCTCATGGCCAGTAACACTCGAAGAGGAATGAAGGGAAATCACAAGAAGATAGGAAAGTTATCTCTTTCTCTAGTGAGATCATTACATTTGAAGGACCCTTATTATCTGCCATGTTGCTAAGGGAAATGTCTGATGCGATGTTCCCAGCCATAAGTTTTCATTTCTCAGTACTACCATGTTGGAGAATTCCATCTTGCTAAATGCGCATGGGTAAGACCAGTGTTTGCGTCAGGGGCTGTGCAGTTGCTCACAGTTTTCATGCAGTGCAGAGCAGCAGGTCAGGTTCCCACTCACCATTCCGCTGATGCACCGGCCACAGGCAGTGGTTTTGAACTCCCCGTGCAGTTCCTTCACCGCGCTCGTGGTGTAGAAGCCCTCTGCCAGCAGAATGATACCATACAGGAAGAAAAAGGATGCAATTCCATAGATGACGTACTGCATCAGCTGTATCCTGTGCACACAAGAAGAGGTCTTGAGATGCGACTTCACCTCATGGTCCTGCGCAGTGAGGGGTGGCATCCTCATTTTGTACAGAACGCAGGTGCTGAGGAGATAAGTCACTCACCCAACGATGCTCAGCGACAGAGCCAGCATCAGACCCATGGTGCGGTGGACAGCATGGTTGTGCTGTGTCCAGTGGCTTCCAGGCTGGGCCTGGTGGTTAATATCACCCTGATCAAGTAGACACACACTCGGAGACTCCTTGAGGAGTACTGTGGGCAGATGGCTTTTGCTCTAAGATGCCTGAACCTAAGCACCAGCGTAGCAAGTGGGCTTAAGTTACAGGAAGTAAATTCACAACTAAGTTTGTCCTAAGACAGTGGATGCAGATCAAGGTGACAGGAAGGGACTTGTGGCTCCCCACTGGAACCACCTAGGGTCTTTAGAAAATGCAGGCATCTGGATCTCAGGCCCAGAGATTATGACTTCATTGGTCTTGGTTGAGGCCAGGGTATTTTTTAAACTTCCTCAGCAATTTGAGCTCCGTTTGGAATGAGATCACCATGACATGAAATCTGTGCATCTTTCTCAGGTTCTGCCTCAGTAAACAATCTGTCTTCACTCAGAGTTAGCACTTGAGCCCTCTTTCCGGCTTGCCCCCTCCCTTAGAACCTCCCTGGCCCCTCTTGATTTGTTTGGCTGTCATTCAGCAACAGATTAGAAAACAGTCCCCTACAGACTCTTCCAAGAAGATTTCATGATTATTGCATAAAAATTCATCTGTTCATTTCCCTGTGATGGAAAACTGTTTTTCTATCCCAAAATACAAATACACTCTGAAGTCTGGGGATTAAAGGAAAGAAAATTAAATGATAAAGGAATGGAGAAAAGGGAAAATATTTGAAGAAAGTAAGTATAGTGCTGCAGAGCTTGCCTCATTAGGAGGCTGTGCTTGGGAGCTTTTGAGAATTGTTCTGGAATCAGAAGGCAGAGTTTTGGGGCTAGCCCCTGGAGTTTCCCCCTTTCTGCATTAGATGAGCCTCTGGGATTTGCTGTTCTGCTGGAAATGTTTTTTCCTTCTGTATCTAGGATGGGGTCTCCAGGGTCTCACTACTTAGATCACACTCATAGTGATTCTCCTATGTTCAGCCTCCAAGAGCCAGGATTACAGGCTAGAGCCACCGCTATCTCAGTGCACCCCGGGGCAGGGGCCCAAAATTTCTGTTCAATATTGTTCCTGAAGACACAGAGTTGGGGTTAGCCCTTAGTGGGCCTCCCAGCCCTCTAGGGATGGTCACTTCCTGTGAGAAAACTGGAGCGATTGGCAACATCAACCTGCCACCTTGTCACATGCCCCCAGGTCTAGCCCTATAGTGTGAAGCACCCTGTGTGTGGACCTGGGGCCCAAATGCTACCACATGCCTGGCTGCTTCTGTTGCCATCCCTCATGGACTCTTTTTATCTGCACAAAGCGAGCTTTAATGAAATGCATCAGCTGTCCTCCAGGAGAGCACATGCTAGCCTTTAGGAAAATATTGCTGGATGGCTACATCTCATACATTTCTTTTCTTTTTACTTTTTGCCCTAGACATTGAACCCAGGGCCTACTGCACTAACCTACATCCCCAACCCTTCATAAATATTTTTGTTTATTTTGAGAATGGGTCTTGCTAACTCACTAAATTGCCCAGGCTGGGCTGGATTTTGTGATCTTCCTGCCTCAGCCTCCCAGAGCATGGGGTGACATGCGTCATGTCCCTGCACTCTGTCTCATACACACCTTCAAAGGGCAAGCAGATACTTACACTTCGCTCAGCAAGGCGTGGTCACTGGTGTTGGTGGAGAAGTGTTGTTCCAGAATTGCCACGGTGCCTGCCAGTGCCACATGCCCACAGCCGCAGAACAAGGCGACTCCAGAGAAGCACAGGATGGTGGCCACCAGGGAGGCGTAGGGGACTCCTCCCAGACACTTGATGCAGCATTCAAAGCAGCCTGGACCCAAAAGAAAAGGCAGACGTGATGGGCAAGGAGGCCTGAGGCCTCATGAACCCCGCCCTGAGCCCCAAGGCTCTGCTTCTGTTTTCTCCCTTACGGGCCCTGTGGCTGACACCTCAGTGTCCCCACTCCCAGGGGTACTTCTCAAGGCTGTGTGCTGAGGGGACAGGAAGATGCTGAGACTCCAGCAGGGAATTTTCTCAGAGTCTGGAAGGGTAGCAAGTGACATACTGTTGTGAGGTCTGTCATGATTCCAGAGACTGACAGGGGTGGAAGAACCCTGTCCAAGGGATGATGCCCAAGTGACACTCCACTAACAAAGCCAAGGAGAGGGCTGCGGAGAAAGCTCGGTGGCCTAATCGCCTGCCTGGCAAAAGCAAGGTCCAGAGTTCAATACTTAGTACTGAAAAAAAAAGTCCAAGGAGACTAGCAGGGAAACTACAGCTCTGGGAAGAAAAGTGACTATGGATCTCCTCCACCCCCGGCCTCTGACCTCTCAGAACAGTGGTAGAATCTGGGACAGCCATTATATTGTCACTGGGTTTAGAAAAATGTCAACACAGTTGTTTTAGGAAAGTAATAGATACCTGGGTCCCCAGTTCAGTGAAGTACAAAGTCACTGAGATCCTCTCAGGTGGGATCATTCATTCCATTCTTGTTGGTAGTGGAAAGTACCTCCACTTTGGAAAGAAGGTGCTCTCCCGAGCTCAGAGAGCAAAGCAATTCATTCACAGTCCTGCTCCTCCTCCTCCCCCTCCTTTCCCTCCCCCCTCAGCCTGCCTTCCATCTGTCCCCTTCCCCAACACACATGTCCAGACTCAGAGCCCAGAGCTGGTGGGTGATATTTAAGTACTTGAAGGGGAAAAGGAACCAAAGAAAAGGAAAAAAAAAAGACAAAATGAGCATCCATGAAGTGAAATGGAGGAGACAGAACCATACTTCGAATTGCATTTTGAAAAGATGAGACTCCTACTCATTTTTACAATAACCATTTCTATTTGAGAGTTCCACAAAGGCCTCTTGGATGGCCAGCGCTAGGTGCTATTTTCACCTGGGGACATTCCCGCTTCAGTACAGCAGCGCTGGCCTCCGGATAATGTCAGTACCTTCCTGGCCTCCTGTGCCTGTTCACATTCTCCAGACCCTTAAGTAAATGGCTTGTCAGGGAAATTGAACTTTAAATGCATTAGAAGGTTTAACAGCAATCAAGAGCAATTCATTACACCAGGGCCAGTACATTAAGCCAGTTCAGTTTCTTTGCTCCAAATGGACTTCCGAGTATTCAGCGTAGGCAAGCCCAGCCGAGCACACCAGAGATGAGCTTCTCCACACGGGTGAGCAGCACTTGCTTAAGTTGACCACAGAACATGCCCATTACTCCCTTTACCAGACCTGTCTTTAGTTTATTGGAAAATAAAATAAAGTGTCAGGGTTTCATAAGAAGCCTGCACTTCCTTTTCTTAAGTTTTATTTTTATTAGTGTATGTCTACCGTACGTAATGATCACTTTTGTTGTGGGGAGCTGGGCCATGGACCTAGCACATCTTTTTTTATGTGTGGCTGACTCAGTCCACCCTGGGGGCAGGGCTGGCATGCATGTGGTGCCGGGGATTGAACCGCAGTTCCTGAGTGCTTGCCTTAGCTTGCCTAAGCAGGTGCTTTAGGCCACTGAGCTGTCTTGCCGGCACGACATAGTACATCTCAATTCTGAGCCTATGCTTCTTTCTATTTCAAAAGCTGATTGTCTGTTTTCAGGAAAACCAACAGCTCTCAAGCCAATTTATGAAACCTCATTAAGTGGGCACCAGTGTACAATGGAGTTCAAGTTCACCACCAAGTCAGTGCCCCAAAGAGATGTTGACGCCTGACACTGGGGATCAGGGATTCGATGTAGGAGTTCAATCTTGTTTTGGCACTTTATTTTTTGGAGACTGGGCTGAAAGGTCAGTTTCTCTCTAGACACCTGCATCAAGAGCAACCAACATCCTAGGCCTTGATGTGTCCCCAGTGCACAGAGGGGACAGCCCTCTGTGTGTGATGTCATTCACAACCTCTCCCATGCGCAGCCTCTATCGTGGTGCTAGGAACAGCAGGAGGCCTGCTCTCTTGGCTAGCCCAGCTATGTCCAGCCCTCGTGGGACAGAGATGTGTGGCCTTAGGACTGTGCTGTGCAGAAAGGCAGCCACTACAGCCATGGCTAGTCATATCCAACTTCTTTACACCTGAAATGAAAAGCACAGGGCCTCAGTTGCACCAGCCCCATTTCCCATGTGCAGCTTGACATATAGTGGCCCCCCTCAATGGACAATGTACACAATATTTTATTACCACAGAACACTACTTTAGGAGACTTTTCTTCACATGATACTGGGGTTTGAACTTAAAGCCTTCACACTGTGATGTGTCGGCAGACCTTTTAATTTTTTGAGACACAGTCTTGCTAAGTTGCCCAGGCTGGGTTCCAACGTGTGATCCTTCTGCCTCAGCCTCCCAGAGTGGCGGGATTACAGGTGTGCGCTGCCACACCTGTAGAAAACATACTTAATTGTTATATGGTCAGTTCTCTTGTAATATGAATCAGGTTCTGAGTTTTGCTCTGGTTTTCATTAATTCAGTAGTTTTGAAGACCTACTAGGTGGGTGATAAGTAGTGGACTTTACAATGGGGATCCTCATCTGAAATCAGACTTGTTCTTGGCCTTCAAGGTCAGTCTAGTACTGTGGACAAGCAACACATATTATAGTAGGGCAGGGTGAGATCCAGTGGGCCAGAGAGCTCAGAAGAGGGGAGAAGGGGATGGAATTCATACTGGAAAGGGGGCGGGGACCCCTTTCTACAGTGTAGTATGCAGAAGGTTGAAGTGATGGACACAGTAACACTGATCTACAACCTGGTGAAATGCCCAGTACTAACTCCAGGGTACTTCTAACAAACCCACACCCTTCCTCATCCTTTGGAGCTAGGCTTAGGTATTATGGGGCAGTCACACAAGCACCCTTTAACAGTGCACATCCTCCCCAAGCCACGGATGCTGCTTCAGAAGCATTTCATCCAAAGAGTCAGAGCGTCTGCCTCTTTCAAAGTGGACTCCACAGCTACTTTCAGGCTCAAAAAGACAGACAGGCTTAGAAGAATGATGCTGTCTGGTCTGGAATTCAACACTAGATCAAGGCCCATGTCTCCCTCTGATTTATGTCTGTTAAGGACTCCACATACTCCATGCTGGGGAGCTGGTTTCCTAAAAGCAGAGACACAGGGATTCAAGGAGCCAGGTGCTCACAGCAATGAGTCAGACTCTCAGCAGATGCCATGGCCTTAAGTTTCCGGGACATGATTTAACTTGTGGCAGAAGGAATGGTGGCTCCTAACTCTACTAGTTCTTTAGAGAAAAAGTCTGCAAGGAGGGTGTCGGCACATGGCCTAGTCTCAGCACTCCGGGAGGCTGAGGCAGGAAGACCACAAGTTGAAACTCAGATTGGGCAACTTTTCAAAACCCTATTTTAAAATATGAAACCTAAAGTTCTGGGGATGTAGCTTAGTGCAAAGGCCCTGGGTTTCAAGCCCCAGAATGAGGAGGCAATGAAAAGCATGCAGATCTCTCCCTAAAACACTGCTTGGAATGCAGGCCATGGTTTGCACACCAGCAGTACCATCGCCTAGGGACACATCCAAGTGCAAATTCTCAGGCCCATTCTCCCCCAGGACAGCTAAATCAGAACTTCTGAGCATCTGCATTGTGACAACTCTGGTCAATTCTTGCGTACAAACAGCCAAATTCTACTACCGTGAAAATCTGACTCCAAAATGACCCCCCACTTCAAGACAAGATAGAGGAGCAGGGACTGAAGTCAATTCTTGTTGGAAATAGCCAGAAACACAGACAAAATATATGAACCAGTGATCTACAAGGTGTCTGTCCGTCTGTCTGTCGGTCGGTCTGTTTTTCTCTGTACTAGGGGTTAAACACCTAGAGCTTTCATCCCAGATCTTTTTAAAGTGTTTTATTTTGAGACAAAGTCTCATTAAGTTGCCCAGGCTGGGCTCCAACTTGAGATTCTACTGCCTCAGCCTCCCACAGTGCACTGCCACACCTGGCTGTGTAGGAGTCTCCTAGAGCTCCTGTTGCTGAAACTCCAGCGAGGCAGTGCAACAGCAGAGGTAAGGACAAGGGCGTGGGTGAGGATGGGGGTAATTAATTTTTCTTGTTCTTCCAGCACTAAGCACTATTCCAAGGGTCTTCCAGGTCCCAAGCCTAATGCTGACAGGGGTGTGATCTACACTCAGTTGGAGCTGGCAGTCTTTGGGGTCGAGGGTGCAGCAGAACCACACTGCTTTCACATCAGAAGTGCAGACAAGGGGGCCGGTGAGACAGCTCAGTGGACTAAAGCACCTACTTAGGCAAACTTAGGTAAGTGCAGTGGCCGCAGTTTGATACCCAGTACCACATGCTGCACCACCTCTGCCCCCAGGGCGGGCTGAGACTGCCAGAGTCTGGGCATAGTGGCGCACGCCTGTAATCCCAGGACTGGAGAGGCTGAAAGCAGGAGGATCACCACGAGTCCAAGCTGCATAGTGAGACCCTGCAACAACCAAATGCATTTTTTTTTAAAAAAAGAAGTGTAGACAAGGAGTGATTGAATTCATTTTCTGGGGGTGACCAGGGAATGACGTTTTGGAGCTTGGATCTCAAGGCTGCATCTGGGTTCACCGGGTAAAGAGTGGTTAGCATAGGAAGGCAGAGTGAGCCAGGAAGCAGGAGGAATACAACCCAAAGCTCCCCATGGGATGGAGCAGGCCACCTGGATGGTGACGGAAGCCAAAATATCCAGGGAAATGAGGCAGAGTGTGGACACAAGTGTGCATGGCAGGTGGGCCCTATAGGAACTGGAGAGCTTGTGCAGGCTGGCGGAATGCCTTGGGGATTGTGGACTTCACCCTCAGGGTCCCTCAATGCCACTGAGCAAATGAAGTGGGGAGCAGCTCGGGGTTGTCCAAGA